GGAACTTGGGCTCATTGTCATTGATGTCTTGGATTTTGATGATGAACTCTGACTCTGGCTCCATTGGCCTGCCTGTTCGCCTGTCTAGGGCTTGAGCTCTTAAAGTATATTGGGCCCTTTCCTCCCGATCGAGCCTCTGAATGGCGTGGATATCTCCCGTGGTGTCATCGATGGTAAACACAATGCCTGCGCCTTCTCCAGAGAGGATGTATTTGATGGATCCGTCTCCCCTGTCCATATCTGAATGAAGCTAGGGGAAAAAAGCACCCAAATCTCATTGATGGATATGAACATGTATAGGAAATAAACTGATTTTTAGTTTGGTCCAAACTTATGACCTCCCTTCAAACAGGAAGAATTTTTCTTTTTTCAATTAAAAAATTTTTTTGGTGGCAGTATACACAACCAGACATGTATCTGTTCACAGAAGAATTTTTCTTTTCCCACTCAAATGTTTACAAAGTCTGTCTACAAAGAACTAAAATGCATTGAACATGATTGTATCAAAAAACAAATATAAGTTGATGAATAGGTAGTCAAAATTTTCCATATTGCATTTAGTATCCTGAACTGTTATTTGTTGAAGTTCCTCTCCCGCAGAAATACAGGAAACGGGAGTCCTGGAAAATGTAGGTCCTCAGTGTGAGGCAGGAGCACCTCTAATGAGGAACCAGCCTTTCCTCAGAAATATTTCTGCTGACCAGAGCAATAGTTGCCACATAACAGTCCGGAAAAAAATGGACAGGCCTAAACACTGTAAAATTTAAAAAGTATTTTCTGTAAAACAAGTTTTGAAGTTTCAAAAACTTTATAAAGGCTCAAGTTGGCTGCAAGACTGATGAAGTAATTCATAAGTAGGTTAAGGCCACTGTGTTCCTAACTGGCCTCCAGGGCCTGTTGCAGCTCTCCCATTCTGTGATCCCAATTCCATAGTTTCATTCCATAGGACTCTGCGTGTTTAGGTTTCAGGTGTCAAAATAGATTTGACTCCTGGTGATTATTATTTGCCACCATTGTGTCTCTCTTTCTGGTGGGAGCAGTTTCAGGGCTCACAATGGTGTCACCCAAATCCAAATGTGGAAGCTGAGTTAGGGACAAGCTTTTATATGCCTCATTCAACTATTTTTCCTGCCAGATCACTTTGTAATGACTAGAAAGAAGTCCAGGGACACTATTTTTATGCTAAGCCTACAAATAACATTTCTGCATCTGGAATTATAGACAGTGTGTATAGATGGCAAGAACACTGACATTTTGTGCTATCCTATAGGTTCACAGTGTCTCTCTAAAGGGGCAACAACAAAACAGTTACATTTAGTCAGCCACCACTAACCGTGTTGTTGTCTGGGTCGTCAGCACTTTGCATAGTTCGTCAACTAAGTTCATGAGATTAGTTTATCAAAGGAGAACCAGTATTAGGCCAGGAAGCAAAGTATATCTGCACAGAACACTGTCTGTGCCAGTTACAAATTGAGTGTCCTTCGCTAATTCTTTAACATTTATAGTCCTCAATTTCCTCATATTATAACTATGGAGAACAATACCCATACTTATTTTGAAGGGTTGTTGTGATCGTTAGAGAGTAATGTATGTAAAGCACCTAGCACAGCATCTTTTCCATAATAGGAGCTCCATAAATGGGGCTGATTATGATGATGATATACATGCATAGGGAAAACGGTATTAACATGTCAGCTCTTCTCTGCTCCCTTCAAACTTTCAGTAGTGTAGCAGAGGAGGCAAAAACAACCTGTTGGCTTTTTCGTTCTGCATTGTCCAAAGGTAGAAGTCGCAGAAGGCGGCCTGCGGCATTGCTGGTACAGTGTTTCTATGAGGATTAAATGACATGGACACCCAGAAGACAACAGAAAATATATTCACAGTATCCTTGGACAGGCATGGTTGTGGCGGTTATGGCCGACTTTGAGCTGATCTCAGATTGACTGCTGGCCAAATCATGCAGGTAGTGATTTTGCTGCCTAGAGGAACTCAGCTGTGTCTTATCTAGAGAAGGGAACTATGAGAATAAAATTGACCGACAAAATAGCTGTGGATTTTTTCTACTTAAAGAATTCTCTTTAGAATATGAAGATCTCACATTTCCTCATTCCACATACAGTACTGCTATTTTTTCCCCCCACAATCCAAATCTTCTGTTTATGTGTTAAAAAAGCAGAGGTACCCGGCTCTTATTGTACAGAATAGAAAGCCATTTTATTCGGTCCTGGCCACAAGAAATACAAAGCCATTCCAT